AGAAATTTCTCAACTCTGCCAATTTACCAGTTCTAACATTCAATCTTTGATGACAAGTCACAGAATGTAACTGTCACTCATATACTTTAAAACACTCTTGGCATTTCCTAACTATAAGAAAGAATAATGGCACCATCTGAGTGTTCACCAGCAACATTTCCTTTAAACTTTTAAGAGGAGAACGTCAGTGAGATTATCACTGTTGTGATTTGGATCTGGAATCTCTCAAGGGCTCCTACATTGAAAGCTTGATCCTCAGCTGTGGCACCACAGGGAGGTAGTGGAGTCTTGAAGAGATGGGGGCCTACGTGGAAAAGGAAGGTCATGGGGGCTTGTCTTTAAAGGATATATTTTGTCCGTGGATCCTCCTTTTTTCTCTCTCCTCCTCTGTACATCCAGCCCATCCACAAAGTGAGCGGCTTTCCCCTACCACGCCCTTCCACTGCAGTGTCTCCATCTTGCCACTGACTTAAAAGCAATGGAGCCAGCCGACCATGGACCTGCACCTCGGAAACTGTGAGCCAAAAATCAATCTTTCCTCCTTTTAAGTTGCTTTTCTTTGGTATTTTAAGCGGAATTTCCTCCTTCAAATGGTTCTTCTTTATTTCATTCTCGCTTTTCTTCAACTTGACCTCTTAGCGCCCCTTTTGTCCTTGCTGCCAACAATTAAGACTAAATATTCTGTCAACAGTTCCAAATAAATGCTTATAGACTTGGGCAAGCAATCTGAGTTACTTTAAGTTTCTCTTTATGCTTATGTCAACTAAATGAATTCTCTGAGAAAAGATAAAAGCATAGGGGATGCAGAGCTGGGAGGAAGAAATAACTAAAGTAGTGTTATTGGGAATTATAGTAGCACTGGCGGGATAATGAGAAGAACTGCCTGTTTCCAATTAAAAGTGCATGTTGGGGAGCAGTACAAAACTGCACCGCATGGAAGGGTAGGCTCTGGAAGGGGTATCCAACAAGAAACTACTATGGAGCCAGGTATGGCGGCACACGGGTGCACTCCCAGCACTCTGGGAGGCTGAGGTAGAAGGACTGCAAATTCTAACTTAGCCTTGGCAGTTTAGCAACTTAGCAAGACCCTGTCTCAAAAGAAAGAATAAAAGAGGGCTGGGGATATAGCTCGGTGCAAAGGTCCAGGGTTCAAACCCCAGGACTGCCCATGGGCAGGAGGGACAGACAATGATCATTCTGATACGCAGCCATCTTAAACTAGATGTTGAGTTTAGAGTTTCTAAACTCTACTATCCACGTAGCCTACAGTTAGTACTTACCTATTTTCCAAGTAATGCTTGTTAATTCTGACATAATAACTATATTATATAGTATTTACATTTGAATTTCTCTCCCCCTCCAATTGGTATTGTCTAATCAAGATTCAATACTTAGGTGTAGGACACAGTACTGCTTTCAGTACTTATGTGTTCTCTGTAATACTGCTCCCCAAAATAAAATGATGCCCATTTAGGGGACTCTGTGGCAGTTGCTTTCAAGCAGCACAGAACACTGTGGGACTCTGGATACTTTCTCTCATCCACTAGGTAATGGTAAAATACTCCTTGGTACCACGCTGTACATGAAGAAGAGCTTCCTGCTGCCCATTTGCTTGTCACACTGTTAGGCTTTAGATCAAAGGGTCACAGTGAATCCACAGGTCATGGCCAACATGCCGTGGTATTCTGTTTGGCCAGTGTGGTGTTTTCAAGAATATTTATCATTGCCATCATTTAAGAGGCAGACATTTTCCACATTTAAAAATGTAAAACTTCGAGCTTCTGGGTTCCTTATAATAACATCTGCATATCTGGCAACACTAGGCCCATACTTCCACATGGAAAACAACTCTGTAGCTGTACAGCAGCTGCTGCCTCTAAATGAAGCACATAACTTGCTAGCCCATTATAGTTCTCACCGCGTCCTACTATTATGACAGCAAGCCAGAGCACTTTTGCAGTACCTCCCTGATCCTTAGTGTCTGCATTTGCTAACCTAGGTTTGAATGAAAGCAGACTGACTCGAGATAGGCAGTCTCCTCGCCAGCATCAGGCTGCGAAGGCTGCTCCTGTACTGACCAGATGATCTCCCCATACAAGGGTCCTCAGACGTCGTCCTCCACATCAGTGACCTGTTTGGGCCATCAGGTGGTAACAAGTGAACATTCACCACTGCTCTCTGCCTGTCCTAGGCTCTTAAACATGCCCTGATAGCCTGACCTTAAGTCCTGCTCTCTGCCTCTCCTCGGTACAGCGACCTGGGTTTTGTACTGAGTGTGCCTAAATGACCACAGAGCCACAGTGTCTTCAGAAGGAGGACTGCCTCATAACCTGACATACTGACATACATGACCCATTTTAGCTTTTGGCATATATTCATTCCAGTTCCACGGGGGGAACTAAATTTCAGCAAGTATGCCGTCAGGATGAACAGGCTCATTACTCCTTATAAAATGATGCCAATGAGACTGCTGTCGAACCAGAAGCCCAAGGGCTTAATTCACAGTAAATTGCTGTAGCCATGCTCCTGGTCTAGCCTGGATGAGGGCTCGACCGTACAGAGTTCAGAGTTACTCCAGAACTGTTTACATTATAAACAATATAATCATTTCTTATCCGACAGAGAAAAGTTGTTGATATTTTTGAGTAAGGCTGTTTGCCATATCTACAGCCAGAAAGAAATAACTGCTACTTAACCTTCTGGTGCAGTGGAATCCATGAATTTCCTCACATATTTCTACATGATACTCCTAACTCTAGGGTTTTAATTTCACTACATTCTGTATAAAACTATTTCAACAGACTTACATAAACACACATCATTTTTACAAGTAAACTTATTTTACAAGTAAACCTTAAGGTCAAAATATAGTAAAAGTACTATATTCTTAGTTTCTGAGTATTTCTTGTTCAGATAATAAGAATTTTAATTGCACAAACTGGAACCTTTTCTTTAGGTCTCTCGCTATGTGTAGTTTTCGAGGCGTGGGAATGGGGACGGATGGAGAGGTGGTTATGCGTTCTGTTAGCATTATGTTGTTAGGTTCAGTAATTCTCAGCACAGAAATAAAGACAGGAATATACATGAGACGGTTTTCACTCTAACAAAATTAAGAGCAGCATCTGCTGATTACCATAACCTAAAGCTTTCGTACAACTTCATGAATTTAGATCTTAAACCCACAAAAAGTACTCTGTATGATTTCTGGCATGCTGGTAATTCTCCCTGGTATGTGTAGCCTTGTTTTGCTGTTGCTTTGCGTCATACTTGAGTTACTCCTTTTGTTGTCCTTGTTGTTTTTCTATCTTTACATGAAATGGAGACTCAGAAAGATACTAATGTTGCAATTCAGACATTTCATCTATAGGAAACAAATTACTTCATCATATTTTAGGGAAGGAAAAAAATCTTTACTTTTGGCAAATAGGTTCTACCTTTTTCTTATCTGACTGGCAAGAGAAAAGTAGGAACATAATAAAAAGTTTAAAATTCTTTAGATAGAAAGTATGGGAATTTGATACTGAAGAGAAAAACATCAGATTATGAGCCAACATGTACTTGTTTTCCTTTAATACTTGGGAACATGGGCAGAGGCAACATCAGCCTCAAACAGAAAGACTACTCAAACAGATAAGGCACAAAGTCAAAACACAGAGACTGTAAATTGGGAATTAAGACAGTGACTGAATGAAAGGCTTATAAATACTGTTGAGTTTGGTTTGGAATGACCTGGAGAAGAGTTTCAACTGACATATACAGAGGTCACTGAGAATGTGCTAAAAGGGCTTTTCAGGAGACAGCCTGCTGTTCTAAGAGTCAAATTATTGCTGACACCAAATTAACTATGATCGGTAATTTCAGTCCTATTATGTACATTTCCTATACCACAGGGGTGTGCAGAAACTGATAGAAATTGGTGACCTCTGTTCTCACTTGGACTTTACAACCAGTGAGTTCACAATGGAAAATCAGCCAACTAGAAATAAAAATTAAAGTTTAATGAAATCTAAAAATCCCCTGTTTTGCACAGGTAAAGAAAAAATAATTTTCTTAGAAGGAAAATATTTTTAAAGTTCCCCAATTTTTGTCTATTGTTGTAGTCTTTATTCTACCAAACCACATTTCTAATCACTAGCAAGATTAATATCTAATATTATTTACTTTTTATTTAATATACAGAGAAACTTGTAGCAGGATTTGGTATTCTCTCTGGACAGTTATACACACCATTAACTTTCCGAATGTCATCAAATTAGGAGGGCATATATTTTTCTTACATTAGACTGAAATTTTAAAACCAGAAGTTGAAATATGGCTGTGAGCAAACAGCCAAATTTTAAATCACAACCAGAATCCTCCTTTGATGAAGCTGGGGGTCTGGCTTAGGCTTCCTCTGCACAACCTGTTCCCTCGGCGATTTAGTTTTGCTCTCACTAACCACAGCCCTTGTTCCTCTTCGCCTACTATTCTGCATCGACAGATCTCTCCCCAGAACAGGTGCTCCCCAGTTCACAATCTGCCTGCATCATCTTTTAAGGTATGCTATAGAGACACTAATCTAACTAGATTCTCAGTCTGGGGCGAGCCCAATTTTGTAAGTATTCAAGTTCAATTACTGGCAAAGAAAAATGAAATAAATGCCCTTTAGCAAGCCTGGTTAATATGTAAACCTACTTAAAGACAGAAAGTGTATTGGACATTTTCTATGAAAGTCTTTCATCTTAGTAGGATTATTAAATAAAAACCACCCCCCCCAATGTTTAATTTGCTTAAACTACTAATTTTACCTTATACCAAAAAACTCACTTTCAAGTAACTTTTAAAGTTACTGTTACAGCTTTTAGGCAACAAAAAAACTCAATGTATCTTCATACAATAATTATGTCCAGTAGAATTCACCATCCAAACAAAATGCTGACAAATAAGTTGCACAAATACTAAGTTAAATAATTACTTTAAAATTAATTTATATTCTCATACCAATAACCGTAAGTTTTTACCTTGAGAAGATATGTGGGAATATTACTGAAATCCACTGGCAACTTCAAAAGGAAACGAGCTGAAAATTCACCAGTCTGTAAAAAGAAAGGTATAATAAGATAAAAATAAAAAATAAATTGAGAAGTGATAATTATAGGTAAGGCCACAAGTTCAACCTGTTCAAAATGCAGGCATCTTCAATTTGGGCTTCCTAATATCGAGCAAGAAAAGAAGGTTGGAAAAGCAGAGGAGGATCAAAAAAAAAATTCTGAAGTTATTGATCTCAAAAGGATAATCTGAAATTTTTAAATGTGCAGTAATTATAAATAAGCAGTAAAATTACAATACAGTAGTGTTACTTTTTGTTTCTTACAAGTATAAAAAACTGTATATTTTTTAATCCAAGCAATAGTAACAGACTAACTTCTTAGATTCACTTGCTTTTACTGAAGCATTCAGACCACTGTACTAAAGTTTATAATTCACATGGCCACAACATGTCACTACCCTTTATAGTGTATCTAGAGCACATACAAAGGTAGAACTTCCACTCATGCACAGTAGGCACATCACTGAGCCCCCCCAAGTAAGTTTCTAATCTCTTAAAAGTCTATTACCACCACCACCACCACACCATCATCATCATCATCATCTTTAATATTTTTTCAGTTAGCTCCCTTTACAAAGTAATCTCTATAGAAAAGTATACACAGGTTTGACAACCGAAAATATTTAACTATTATAAATAATGGCTCCTAATATTTATTTATTTTATGTATGTATTTATTTATGGGGGGCTGCGGGGATTGAACCCAGGGCCTTGCACATGCTAGGCAAACCTTCTACCACTGAGCTACACCCCAGACCAGCTCCTATTTTCTAAAAGAGAAAGCTCATGGAAAAGAAAAAGATAACTTCTCAATTTCTACGATGTCAGAGGCCAAGCAACCACCTTTTTTTGGTCACTTTGTTTTAACTCGGCCATAGACTGGAGAGGGGGTTTTCCGTATGGGTTGTACAGAGACCTAGGAGCTCCGAGACCCTCTGCAAAAGCTAGTGGGGTCCTGGGTCTTCTACCTCATCTCACTGCGAGCATTCAGCCTAACTTGGGCTTTTGACATAGTGAGCTTGTCTAGGACGTGTCTGATCAAAGAACTCCAGGGCAGTTCAAGAGCTATCCTTAAAATATACAACTCTGTCCTTCCCATTCTCTGACTACTAAAAAGCTCCCAGTATCTTATTTGCCCCCCTAAAATAAAAGTCACACAAACACCCCAAAGTACATCTTTTTAAAAACCTCAAGAATTTACAGGTATTTCTGTGGATGGACTACACACAAGCACCTGTGCACACCTCTTACAGATGGCTCCGCAGCCATCACCACTTCTTTCCACAAAAGCCCTGCCAAATGGCTTCACGGTTCTGCTCCTAATTTTAAAACTCTGACCTAAAACTTTGAAAAATGCAGGCAGAAATGTAAACTGTGAGCTCAGAAGATAACAATGATAACTACCATCAACCTAGTCGTGTCGTTTGTTTTGTTTTGTTTTGTTTTTAACCACTTACAACATCTTTCAACTTGTATCAACCTCAGGCTAAGAACAGAACATTTGTGTATCACGACGAGCATAACCTTGGGACAGAAAAGCGAAATTGAGAAATGAGCAGATAAAATCAAAGCAGAACAAGTGAAACAGAAGCAGAAGCCACTGTGCCACCAAGAGTACCAATGGTGACAAACAGGGCTGACGGCCAGAGACGAGCAGCTGCTTAGTAGTAAATGTCAGTATGGCCAGGCTGCCCACAACTCGACATGGGGACAGTGGAGGAGCCACCCAAAGTCTACCGACCGCGTATCATTTTGGGTGGGAAAATGTCGGTGAGGTCCTGGTATAACCCTTGCCTCCTGTTATAGTTCCGTAAAGAGTTCCGCAAAGGTGTGGTTCTGCTACATTTGCTTCTAGAGGACTCCAAACCAATACAGCAGGTCACAGCTGGACCTAAAGGTCTGCTATTAAGGGAAAGGAAGCCCTTCTCTGAAAGGGTGAATGCAGAGGCCAGATAACAGCTAACAGCATGGAGTCAAGTTAAAGTCTGTTCTCAGGGCTGTGTACAGTGCTCTAGGAGAAAGAATCGTCACTGAAGAACACACGATCCCACCAGCTGTTCCCTTGCCTCTCTCTTATACAATCAGTTTTTCCTTTACTCACTCCCAGCAGTGTGCAGACATCACCTTTGTTTAGTCTTTCCTGACTTTACATCCTTTTGCAGCTGCCGTCTCACTTCCTGGTTTTACTTCTAATGAGTCTACATCCGAGCCTGCATTTTGCATTTCCTCTTTTACTCTCTCTAGTCAGCCTTTCCTCCCCACCGCTCTACCTCAACAGCTCACACGTCATCAACGACCTCTCCACCGCCAAACTCAACGGTCATTTCTCAGTCTTCACCTCAGTGTTCTCTCGGCGGCATTTTGACACAGCTGACCACTCGCTCACTTGCTGGAACATATTAAACTTGGCTTCTAGGACCCCCATTTCCAGAGTCTTCTCTACTCCCCCTGGACCTCTTTCTGTTCTCCACAGCCTCTAAACACCAGATCGACCCCAAGACCTTCTCTATACTCCCCAGGTGATCTCATCCAGGCTCATGACTTTAAACAGGACGTCCATGCTGATGAATACCAAATGGTCTAGATTCCAAGCCTTTTCCTAACTCAAATTTAATTTATCCAATGGCCATGAACAAAACAAAATTCCTGATGTTATGCTCTTCCTTTGATATTTATTCCTCATTTCAGTACCTGGCAATTCCATTCTTTCAGTCTCTCCAGCTAAACATTCCTGATTATTATCTTTCTTTCTCAGCCTGCATTCAAAGTGGAAGCAAATCCTACTGACTCCACCTCCAAAATATACCCTGAGTCCAGCCACTTTACATCTCAGCCACCACTATCTCAGCCCAGACAACTGCAATTGCCCCTAACTGCTTCTGTCCTTGTTTGGCTGCAGCTTACTGTCCTCACAACAGGCAAAGTGATTAATTCAACAAATTAATGAAATCATGATCCTCATTTGCTTAAAACTCTCCAATGGTGGGGATTTAGGGCTGAGGCTGGAGTGCCCTTGCGTGTTCAGGGAACAGCAAGAAGCTCGGTGCTGCTAGAACAAAAAAAGCACTAATACTGATCAAAGGTCACCAAGGAAGTCTTCTTCACAGTGTAAGCAATTTCTAAGCCCCTGTAGGATGTGTAAAAACCGTTCATGAAATCAGTGAACACTAATAAAATGGCTGTTCGTGCATAATGTACATGTGTACACACACGTGAGAAAATAAAAAAAAGGAATGAAATGTAGAACTTGAAAAATAACTCATAGAAAGCAATAGGAAAAACAATGACATGTTTAGCACTTGAACTCATTTGAACTGCTAATTATTTTCATCCACATTTCAGCTTTTGCCTTGTTTTAGTTGGTACAATATATTTTTATTCTACCAGTTATTTTACACTAAAATTCCCTTTAAAATCCTCAGATGATCCTTACTTTATCCCTTCTCAAAATGTTAATCTTAGAACTAATATAAATTTGGGCTTTTTGGCAACAGGCTGATTGACACAACTAAAGTCATAATAAAAGAAATGTTGATCCCAGGACTATCATGAATTTTTGTTTATCAGCAACAGGCTGATGTATAAAACTAAAGTCATAATAAAAACTTCAGACTATAAAGGGAATTTGTTTTACTGGAAACCATAAAAAGTACTTTATGATCTCCAAGTTCCATGCCTACCAGACTTTTTATTTTGCTGCTGAGAAAATTAAGAGGATTCACTTCTCAGCTCTGCCACTGACTCTGTATCCTGCAAGCTCACCCTTCTCTGTGAGCAAACACCAGTTTAAAGCACACCTAACTGCAATATTTAAGGTACAAACACTCTATGAGGAGGAAAGAACAATCCTCATTCTACCTTAGATAATGATTTTTTGTGTGTCTTGTTACTCAAGCAATTTGTGGTCATTTTGTTGTTATGTCAAAGATTGCTTCCACAGAAATTGTTCCTGTAAGCTGAAAACGAGGCATTTCAATGCAGCCAAGAGAACAGAATAAGTGTGTGTGTGTGTGTGTGTGTGTGTGTGTGTGCGCGCGCGTGTGCATGTGTACGCACTTGGTCAAATCTCCTGGATAGATGTAGAAAATTATCTGACCTGTGACTGTGAAAATGTCAGCCTGCCTGCCAGCTGCCTTAATGGCACTCTCCCCAGCCTTAGCAATGAATATGTGCACTCTTTCTTCAAGTTACGGCACATTGGCAAGCAGCTTCAACTAACAAGACTCCGAGTATTGGCAATTTATGAGGCCTAACTATCTGGTAGTAGCAGCTATATTACGTTTCCTTCTGCTTTTGGAAGTGAAAGGTAGACATCTTCTGCCAAACAAATTTCAAGTTCAGGTTGTTCTGTAAGGGGAACTCCTACTTACTTTCTTAGAGACATTTCTCTTGTCAACAAAAAAGCTTTGATCTGAAATTGACTACTAGCACTCAGATAAGCTACATGCTAACAAACGGTGAGCTGTTTCTTATAACTTTAGCTGAGTGACAATGTAATAAGGGTAACTCTTTAAACTGGCAACCAGCATGCCTACATCTGGAGAGTGTTCCGTGCGTAGACACATACTACACATGATGAGGAAAGTCAGGGTTAGCTTAATTAGGATTTTATACTTCATAAAATGTTTCCTGGGGTATATATTTAATTATCTCCAAAATCTTGTTCAATAAAAGTAATTAATTTATGCCCATTTTTAAAATGAGAAAGCTGAGGCCTAGAACAGTTAAGAATCTTGCCTGTAGTCACTGAGAGAGTAACGAGGAGTCACAGAGCTCAAATTCAAGATTCAAGATGTCTGCATGCATTCACGTCGAGGAATTAACAACCCAGAACATATCAGCAGTACAGCGGCACTGTAAACATGAGTAGAGAAGTCAGAACCCACCCTTCCAGCTTACAGGGTAGTGGATGAGTTAAGACATTAACCCAAATAATCATTCCTAAAAGCCTGTGATAAATGCTATCTTAAGGGGCAGAATGCTTTG